TGGTAATTATGAAGGGCTCCCATGATAGAGTATAACTCTCCTTTGGAGAATTCATGGGGGTGTCTTCCTTAAAGCAGAGTGGGGGCTCAGAAAAGGCCAAACAGATGGGTTTGTTGTGCCCAAATTCTGAACCCCAAAACCACCAAGAGGCCTATTTCGATGCAAAAGCAAAGAGTCTTTTATTGTAGTTGTTTAACAAGCTAATCCCATTAGCTCGGGCCTTTCATCCATCTACCTCAGCAGATGGCTGGAGAAAAGACCCCGAAAAATCACAAGGTAGGGATCTTATAGGGCAGTTTAAAGGGAGTGTCTAGGGGCACTTCCAGGCATGGACGACCTGCCCTGTGTTGATTGGTTAACTGGTTGTTATGGCCCATAGGCCCTCCCAGGGCTGTTGCTATGCTCTGTTGTGCACTTGTCCATAAAGCACACCCAGAGGTAAAGCACAGCCCCGGCAGCTAACTTCTGATTGGTTCCTTGCCACAAGGAGGGCATCTGACCTCCTAGTGACCAGGATGAGAGCGGCAAAGTCAAGCAAGCACATGTTAGCCTGTCATGGCTGCTCAAACTGAAGTTTTGAGGCAAGAGTCCCAAAGAGCTGTATCCCTGGCTGTCTGAACTACATCATTATTCCCCTGGGTTTGGGGGCAAGTGTCCTTTTCATGTCCCCATGGCCACAAGACCTCCAACAATTAGATGATCCCCTTTTCAAAATGTTTTTCCTTCTGGGGTTAATAGTTCGCTTTGTTTGTATATTTGTATGTGATCATGAACAGTGGCGAAGGTGTATTGGTTGTCTGTGTAAATGTTCCATTTTGCTTCCCTTGGCCCATTTCAACACTTGAATTAAGGTTATTATTTCTTTCTTTGAGCCAGTGTGTCTCTTGGGTAGAGCTTGTGATCAAATGACTTCTTTCTGGCCCATAACTACTGTTGCCCCAGTGTACCTAATTTCCTCACAGACAAAACCACTTCCATTGGTGTAAAGGTTAGATCTTTGACTGTGAGGGGAACATCCATGAGGTCCAGTCAGCTACCCTGAATGACATCCAGGACCTCCAGGTGGCCATATATGGTTCCCTGAAGGTCACCGTCCAGTAATAAGGTATCAAGATTGATAGCCATGGATTTGTCAAAAGCCAATCTATCCTTATCTAGAAGGCCCTCATATTGGGTTAGATGAGCATTAAACATCTAGCAACTAGTGGCATCTCTTAATTGAGTCTCAATGCATGCGGGGGTCATTATGGTCAGATTCTGTTCCAGGGTTAGTTTGCTTCCTTTACAAGGATTGTGGTAGCTGCCATAGTTCGTAGACCAGGGAACCATCCTGAGGCCACAGGATCCAATCTTTTTGAAATGTAGGCAACTGGCCTTTTACAGGGGCCCAGGGCTTGGGTTGGGACTCCTTTGGCAAATGCCCTTTCTCTCATAGACATAGAGGTGGAAGGGCTTGGAGATGTTAGGAAGAGCTAAGGCAAGAGCCTGCTTAAGAGCTCCTTTCAAGTCCCTTTAAGACCTGCTAACCTTCCACAGTGTACTTGAAAGGGATGTTAGCCCCTGCCATGGCTGAGACCAAGGGTCTGACAATTTCAGCAAACCTGGGTATCAAGAGGCAGCAATATCCAACTGCACCCAGGAACTCCCTAATGCTGTAATTTAAAAAAGAAAAAAAAAAAAAGCAGCTCGATAGAGAAAGATGACATGCAACAGAGTTCAAGTGGAGGGGTTTTTTTGGGGGGATAGTAAAAAGAGGAGAGGGGATAGGGGAGACTGTCTGGGGACAGGAGCAGTGGGAGAGAGGAAAGAGAGGCAGAGAGAGAGGGGAACAGAGGGAGAGAAAGAGAGGGATGGGAGGTGGGCAGGGCTCTTTTAAAAGGGAACATACTGAATAGACAAGGTGGTATTCTTAGTGGCAGCAGCTGAGGATGTATCTTGTCAGAACTCCAAAGGCAGGCCAGTAAAATGACTAAATCCTAACACCTAATCTGCCTCTTTGTGGTTGAAGTGGGGGTTCAAATTATGACGTCTACGTGGGCCTTTGATAATAGTCTTTCTCCTTCCTTTAATCCATATCCCAAATAGGTGACCTAGGGTGAGAAAATTGCGCTTTGTTTTTGGAAACTCAATAGTCTACTTGAGCCAGAGTACTTAAGAGACCCTGAGTAGCTAAACAGTCCTCCTTAAATCTTTTGGAGCCAGCAATAAATCATCCACATATTGAGCAAGGTTAACTTTTGGGTACTCATTGCAAAAGTGACTTAAGTCCTGGTTGAGGGCTTCATCAAAGATGGTAGGGGATTTGCTGAACCCCTGAGATAATCAGGTCCAGGTCAGTTGCCCTGATATTCTCAGTTCAAGGCCAGCCCATTCAAATGGAAAGATATAAAGACTTAGTTTTGACAAGGGAATAGAGAAAAATGCATCCTTTAGATCCAGTACAGTATAAACCTTATGCCTTATGCAGCCAGCTGAGCTGAGTATTAGGGTTGGGAACAGTTTCTACCCACTTATTCACTCTCCCTAAATCCTGTACTGGTTGGTAGTCTTGATCCCAGGTTTTTGTACTGGTAATAAGGGTGTGTTCCAGGCTGACTGGCCTGGAATGAGTATGCCTGCCTTGAAGAGGCAACTGAGATGGATCTTGAGATCCTCTCTAGTCTCTGTACTGTTGGGGTACTGTCTGACTCAGATGGACATGGCCCCAGAAGTCAGCTGAACTATAACTGGCAACACATGCTTGTCCAGACCAGGAGGACTGTCTTTGGCCCAGACAGTTGCAACATCCCTGATAAACTGCTCTTTCTAATTTCCCCTCAGGAGCCTGTATTCCTTTCTTAAGGGACAGGAGATGGTTGGGATTGTGACTGGATACTCTAGTTGTAGCTTAGTCACATCTCCTGAGAATGAGATAGTTGCCTGGAGCTTGCTTAGGAGGTCTCTTCCCAGCAAAGAGAATGGGCACATTCAGGGATACTGATGAAGGAAAGAATCGCTGTCCCCTTTCCCAGACAAACAGTCCATTTTGTAGTTCATTTATATTTCCTGACTTCCCCTGTTGGCCCCTGCATTTTCACTGTTTGAAGAGTGAGAGGCCCCAGGGGTATTGGTAATACCAAATGTGAAGCCCCCATGTTGACTAGGAAGTTTACAGGTTAGCACCAATTAAAAAGATTGCCATAGACTCCTAGGGGCCAGATTTGAAAGAGCTATGGCCCCACTATTTTCCTTAAGCCAAACGTGGCCTTGGCCAGGGAGGACCTACCCATTTCTGTTGGGGGCATTCATGTTTCCAGTGCCCCAGCTGCCTGCAGTAAGCACACTGGTCTCTTCGCAGGGCCTTCCTCCTCTGGTTGTGTGCTGTTTGGCCATGACTGAAGGCACCCCGTTCTTGTGCAGTGATCACAGTCGGAGTCACTGTCTGCATCCGCAGCTCTTCTTCCCTCTCTCTATTGTAAAACACTTTCTGGGCTATCGCCAGCAATTCTGACCTACTCATGTATATAAATCCATCCGTTCTTTCGATCTCCCTACATATGTCTGGGGCAGACTGAGTTATGAAGGTAAAGTTAATGATGGGGAAGTTTGTTGAGTCCTCTGGGTCTATGTCTGTATATTCACGGTATGCATCCAGGAGGCGCTCGAGAAACGCTGAAGGTTGTTCATTTGGACCTTGTCTCACATCTGACACCTTGGAATAGTCAATGGGCTTCCGGGCTGCCCGTTTTATCCCCTCAAGCAAAGCTTGTTGGTAATCACTGAGTGTCATCCTACCCTTTACTGTCCTATCTTTCCAGTCTAGTGTCTGAATAGGCAGGTCATGTTTGCCAGTCAGTGCATATATTCCAGGAAGTGTTTTAGCTGCCTCAGTCAGAATCCGTTCCCTCTCCTCCATTGTGAAGAAGACATGTAAGATAAGTTTACAGTCATCCCAAGTAGGATGGTGGATGAGCAAGATATATTCAATTAGAGAGATTAGGGGCTTTGGGTTTGTGCTGAAAGGAGGGTGCTGCACCTTCCAGTTAAGAAGATCAGTGGTGGTTAAAGGCACATAGGCTATGCAGCTGCGGTATGTCCTGAGATGGGGGTTCTGGGAGTTCTTGTTATTACGATCAGTGTGGGTGAAGGGCACACAGACATCGGAGGGCTGGGATAGAGGTTGGGGTTGAGGAGGAGGTGGAGTCACGGTCTGGGGCTGAGGTGGGGGCTGAGTCACGGTCTGGGGCTGAGTCACGGTCTGGGGCTGAGTCACGGTCTGGGGCTGAGTCACGGTCTGGGGCTGAGTCACGGTCTGGGGCTGAGTTACGGTCTGGGGCTGAGTCACAGTCTGGGGCTGAGGTGCAGGCCTTTTTAGGGGCTTGGGTTGCGGTGGGGGCTGAGTTACGGTCTGGGGTTGAGGTGCAGGCTTTTTCACAGGCTGGGGCTGAGGCAGAGACTGAGGGAGCTGAGACAATGGGGAATGACGATGGCCATATTTGACCATAAAAGACTTCATCCATAGCGGTGGATTAGATGTTGCTTCTGCCCAAGGCACAATGTATGGAATTTGGTTCAGGTGGCCGGGTAGTTTGTAGACAACATCTACTATGGCCCAAGCCACCTTGGGATCAAAGGTGCCCTCAGGGGGCCATTCGACCCCAAATGTGGGCCATTTCTGTTCACAGAAGATCTGGAGACGTTTCTTGGTAATGTAGTAGCCATAACGCTTCTTCAATTTCCTGGGGTAAAGTAGGTCAAAATTTTCTAGTACACACTTTAAGGGAGTGTCTGCTTTACTACTCTTATTACCCATTCTGTTGTCCAGTCACCCCAAGTCCAAACCACAGAAGACTCAGGGCAAAGAGACAGAAAAGACAAAACAATACAGGACACAGGGGGGGTCAAGAACCAGGTGGGCTGTGTGACTTCTCCTTAGTGGCCTCCTAAGACCCCTCACTGGCCCCAAATGGGATCGAAATAAAACCAGGATCAGATGTCATATAAGGAAAACTATGACTTACCAATGGAGGCCTCCTCAGACAGGTGCTTTACTGGTTTTCTTTTAATGCAGCCTTGGGCCAGCCAAACCGGAAGTGAGCCCGAGGCCCTTGGAATGTCTCAAGGTGCACATCAGGTGGGAAGTGTCCTCCAGTCCCTGAGGATCAAAGGGAATGGTCTGGGTTCTAAATTTGGGAAGGGGGTCTTATATTTGTAGGGAAAAGGGGGCAGCCAAAGAAACACACCCTGAACAGAGCCAAAGAAACACACTTTGGCCCTGCATCCAGAACCAAAAAAATGTACCCCGACACTGAAACCAGTGCCAAAGAAACACACTTTGTCCCTAGAATCAGAGCCAGTGAAAGAAATACACCCTGGCCCTAAAATTAGAGCCAAAAGGCTAAGAAGGACCAGAGAAAGAAACACACTTTGGCCCTGAAACCTGAACCAAATCTAACCTAACCCTGTGCAGAAAACTAGCCAATCCCTGAGCAGGAGATTGAAATCTGACCAATCCCCACCCTGGAAACACTTCCCCTGCCCCCAAGAATCCCTATATAAACCCTGCATCTGTTCAGCTTGTGGCTATTTGTGCTACCAGACTGTGTCCTCTGCCAGAAGAATCCACTCTCCTGGATTCTTCCCTCCCAATAAACCCCTTCAATGAGTTTTGGGTGACGACCTTCTTTTGAGGTGGAGCAGAGACACCCCTGGGCAGAGCAGAGAGAGCAGGGCGAGCAGGGCTGTATGTAACACTTTTGCAGGGGAAACCTTCCCCTGGCAGAGCGGAGCTGTTACACTCTGAGCTGAACTGTAGCAACTTCGCCCGGGGAAACCTCCTACCGGAGCAAAACTGCTACACTGGGCAAACATCCCCAGCTGGAAGACCCTGCCCTGCCAGAGCAAGCCGATACACCAGAGAAGCCTTTGTCTGAGGCTGGGCTAAGCTGCTAAGCTTACTGCAGCCTGTGGTGGTCCTTGGCTCCCGAGCTCCAGGATACCTTTCCACCTGAGCTGTGTTAACACTCAGTATTCTGGGGCTCCCGAGTGCCAGAATACCTGTCCCACCCAGCGGAACGTTTAGAATATCACTTAAGCTTCCAAATGATAATCCCACTGAATAAGGATAAAGACCACCTTATTCTGTGCAGTCACCCGTGTGGCGGCTGTCTACCCCTAAGACAGGGTTCGAGAAAACTGCCCGGTGCATCTCTCTCTCTCTCTCTTTTGGTTTTTCGAGCCAGGGTTTTTCTGTGTTGTTTTGGACCCTGTCCTGGAACTCGCTCTTGTAGACCAGGCTAGTCTCAAACTCACAGCGATTCGCCTGCCTCTGCCTGGGATTAAAGGCACCACGACCAGCTCGGTGCACCTCTCTTATAGGACAAAACCACAAGGAGATTTTGCAAGCAGATGAGTTTAGAGAAAGAGCAAGGCTGCTATGGAATTCTTCCTGGAACATCTGGCACAAAACATTCTGAGGTTATGGGGTCGCGGGCAGCCGAATACCCAGAACCGGAAACGTAGTTTTGGCTAAATTTCAAAATGGCTACAGCTCTTAAATGGCTTTCTCAACCCAAATCCCCGGACCCAGTGGACCGGCACTCTGCAGGGCGCTCCTCCCGCAGGTGGCCGTCCGGGTGACAAGTCCAGACTACGGCGACCACTTCCGGCCGGCTCCCGACCCCGTACTCACCAGACGGCCCCAGGAGAAGGACGTCCCTCCGTCCCTGTCGCCCCCGCAGCCCTGGGTCTCGCCTGTGGCCAAACCGCGCCGGTCTAGATGCCAAACTTTGTTCCTACCTCCCGCCCCGAAGGTTAGGAGCCAATCAGACGCCGCCGCTCTGTGACGGATGGTCCGACGAGCCCGTGTGCAGAAAGGGGCGGTCGCCCGGGCGCCGTTATCTAGAAAGGTGCTCTCAGAGAGGAAAGCGAAAGCGACTGCCAATAGATTTGTTTTTTCCTTTCTTCCTTCCTTCCTTTCTTTTTTCTTTCTTTCTTTTCTCTCTCTCTCTTTCTTTCTTTCCTTTCTTCTCTCTCTCTCCCTCTCTCCCTGCTTCCTTCTTTCTTCTTCTTTTCTTTTTGTTTTTGTTTGTTTGTTTTTTTTTCGAGACAGAGTTTCTCTGTGTAGCCCTGGCTGTCCTGAAACTTACTCTGTCGACCAGGCTGGCCTCGATCACAGAGATTTTCCTGCCTCTGCTTCCCCGGTTCACCAGATTCTTAAAGCGACAGGCCCTTGTCTTTCTGCCATGGTAGTCAGAATTGGATAAAGTAGCTCAGGAAGTGCCTGGTGGTGGTGGCGGCGGCAGATGGGTCTTTGAGTTCGGGGCCAGCCCGGTCTATAGAGGAACTTCCGGGACATCTAGGGCTACACAGAGGAAAAACCCTGTCTTGAAAAACTAAAAGGAGATGAAGCAAAAGAGAAGGGGGAGGGAGGTAGAGGGAGGGAGGGAAGACTGGTATAAAATGAGGAATAGATCCCTTGTGCAGAAAGCTGCTTAGCCTGGCAGAAAGAGAACTTTGCTGCATAAACAGCGTATAACATGTATGGGGCTGGAGGCAGTCCGACATAGCTGCAGGTTTGATGATAACTGTGCTGCAGCTCTGTATCTCTGAGGAAATGCAAGCAAGTTGATCTGTTTTGCATATCTGGTTCTTGCAGGCAGAAGGACTATCTATCTCCAAACCTTTCCCAAAATGCCCAATAGAGTGTCTCCATTCCACCTCGATTTGGAGATATTTAAGAGGAGCCCTGGCCAGAGGTGATCAGCTGGCCTAATTGTGCTGTTAAGGAACTTTCCAACAGGATAATAAGGTGGCATCAAATAATAGTTTCATTAAATGAATGACAGTCTGCATTTATAGTTTTAGCGCCCTGCCAATTTCATGAAGCTACAGCACTTATGTAATTGTGGGTTGGCTGAAGTTTCCCATGCAAAATTGATTCTTAGCAAGTTCATAACCATTGCTATGATTTCTTAAAGGATCTCTGTGATGTTACACATGCCAACCATCTAAAATCTGGCTCTCATTATCACTGTTCCTCTCTTCAACTCTGAGGGCTAAATTAGGTAGTGACATAAATGAGGATTAAATATAGCCAATCAACGGAAGTCACAGCAAGAACCTGTGCTGGATTGTAGGATTTAGACATGAGCTGAAAGGAGAGAAAAGAGAAGCCTGCTTTGCCATCTGCTTCAATCCTCCATGGACCCTGGGACATCCCAGGCAGAGCCCATATCTGCCAGGCCAGCCCAGCACACATGGAGTTCTGAGGTGCAGGGCCCACCACAGTTACCTCAGAAGCCTCAGAGTTACACATAAGTTGGCTTTACAGTTTTGAAGTACTACCAGCAAATCTTATAACATTCAGAAGTCTCTTATACTGGATATGACAGAAAGGGTGAAATTAACTATGACACAGATGAGCTAGAAATAAGTACTGCAAGGGCAGCTGGGAAATGTGGACTGACTCTTATGTAGATATTTTCCCTCTTTAAGCAAAGTCAGGACTCTGTTAGCGTGGAAGAGGGAAGGAATGGTGAGCTCCAGGCTACGAATAGACCTTGACTCAAAGGAGATGGATGGAATTTCAGAAAGTGGCCCTTTAAGGTTCTTGTCTGGCTTCCAGAAGCATGCACACACATGCACATCGGTATCAGGGCACCTATTAGTGTCTGAGAATTGGCAATAACCCAAGCAGGCACCAGAGTCCACACAAAGCAAGTTTTGTATTGAATTGGACAGGAGGGAAACAAAAAACAAGAGAACTGACCAGTCAGGGACAATATCACAGACTCATTGCTTACTGTATCACTGAACGTTCATTGCAGCAAGCATTTAAGCACAAAACCCACAATCTGTTCAAGTTACAGTTACATTTTTCCATCAAGCAGGATTCAAAGATTAGGGGCTTTCCCTATGTGTTCCATCGTTGTCAACTGACACAGAATGTAAGTTCTTCAGTCCAACCAATCAGATTCATTTGTTCTTTTTTTGTTGTTAGGAACAACCGCAATGTTTTAGAAAACCAAAGATGTACAACAGACTATCTGTTCTGTTTAAGGAGAAGGCTGGTCAGCTATTGGAAAGTCCCCAGCTCCCCCAGGGCTGAGGAACTTGATGTTGTTTCACTCTGCTGATAAAATGTAATCTGAAGTCAAAATTGCAGCACTTAGGACAAGGTGCTGTTGCCTGTTCCCAGGATACACCACACACATAAAAAAAAATAAAAAATGATGTGTAGACCTCAATGCACACTTTCCCCCCAGAATTCATGAAACATTGACCAAGAGGGCTTATGTCTGGAGACAGAAAGCAAACAATACAAAATTTTAAAAGAATTTCAATTATATGACCATAATGGAGTCACACGTGAAACTAGCAACAGAAAGATAATCAGAAATTTTCTAAACATGTAGAAATTTAATAATATGCTTTTTTAAAAAAACAGCATCTCAGTGTTCTATAGCTCTGGCTGTCCAGGAACTCCCTATGTAGACTAGGTTCGCTTTGAACTCACAGAGATCTGTTGCCTCTGCCTCCTGAGTGCTGGAATTAAAGGTGTGCAACACCATACTTAGCTTAAATACCATACTACTTAATTACTGTAAACAAAAAGAAAGCAAATCTTAAAATGAATGACCTTAAGAAAATGCAAAAAACTGTGCACAATGGCACAGCTGTAATCCCAGCAATCGGGCATCAGAGGCAGGAAGACTGGAAGTTCAATTCCAGTGTCCACTCATAACATGTGTGAGGCCAGTCTGGGCTGCCTGAAGCTTTGTTTCAGAACACACACACACACACACACACACACACACACACACACACACTCAAGATGTCACTCAAGTCAATGTAATATTAAATGTCATATAAAGGGCATATTATATGGGTAATTACAATAAGATCAGTTAGATCATGAGGGAAAGGCGAATATAGTTAAAATCTACCGTGTTCTTCAAGATATTTATAAGGGGAGGTTTTTGAGTGTTCCCAACATAAATGACAAGTGTTTGGGGGGCAGGGTATGCTAATTACCCTGATTTGATCATTTCACATCCTACACATGGATCAAAAGTCCATGTTGTAGCACGTAAATTAATTGTTATGGATCAGCTCTATATACAGTTTGCTATAAAATCAACAGTTCAAGCAGGCATCTCCTTAATCAGATAGTGTTTGCCTAATACCAAAAAGAAGATTGATTTGGGGTACTAGCTGGCACTAGCTGTGGACTGTCCCTCTCTTGAGAAGACCAGATTGCCAGGAAGCCTACACATAGCTGGGCAGGCAGAATTTATGCCTCTTTCTTCCACTGTTTTTTGTTTGTTTGTTTGTTTATTATGTACTCGGTTTGAACCAGGCCTTCAAGCTACTAAGCTACATGCCCAGTCCATTCAAGGTAATGTTTCACAGACCATCCTCCAACATTGACAGGATATCTCTGAATTGTTACACACCTACCCTGGCAGTTTGGAAGACTATTGTGTTTGGTTCTTTTATTTTTACACAGGCAATGTCTGAGCTGTCCAGTAAGTTCTTCGTGGTATCATTTGGATGAGGTAAAGTCACAGACAATGGATAATATGCACATTGGATCAAGGCCGCATGAATATACAAAGTAGCAAGACATGTGAGACGCAGTGGAGGAGTCATGGGAGATTAGCAGCCCAGTGTGTCTGAAAGGAGGAATAAGTTCAGTTCCCACTTCAAGACAGGGAGAGAGGAGCCAGGGGGGAGAGGGGTTTGTACGGTAGGAGAAGGAGAAGAGGGTGGAGGGTGAATGTGACCGCAGTGTATTATACACATGGATGAAATTATCAAATAAAAACTGTTTTTGAGACAAGATTTCTCTGTGTAACTTTGGAGCCTATCCTAAGCTGCCCTCGAACTCACAGAGATCCACCTGCCTCTGCCTCACACGTGCTAGGGTTAAAGTCATGTGCCACTACCCCCTGGCCAAATAAACTAATTTTTAAAGAGTGATTTTTAAATTTTCAATCTGATATAAAAGCAAGTGAGCACATTGTGGAAGCTCTATCACATAAGCAGATAAATAAAACACAGGTTAAAGTCTATATCTCAAGTTGTGTGTCACATAGCAGATCTCTGCAACAGGGTTCCTGGTGACACGACATTTCATCTGGGGCTTGTGAGGTGGTGGCTCAGTGGTATGGGTGCTTCCCACCAGGCCAGATGACCTGAGCATGAGACAACCATGGGAGAAAGAGAGAACCGACTTCCTCAAGGTGTCCTCTGACCTCCACATGTGTGCAGTGACATGTCTGTACACACACAATTAAAAAGGGAAATATTTCAGTCAGATAGAGCTGTGTGTATCTGGTGTTCGGTTTCACTTGGGTCTGTAGCAGAAATAGGGTTACTCTAGGATGATTTTCAGCCTTTGTGGCCACAGGGGCGTTGGCTTCTGGTGAAATGACTAAATGTAGCTTTGCAAAAGTTTTTTTTTTATTGTTACACAGTTTACGTGTTAGCAAGTCAATTTCCGCATACCAAAACCTCTTATCTGAAGCTCCTCCAAACCAAAAATTAGCCCAAATTAGACAAAGATAGGGAATCAGTTCAATGCAAGAAGTACAGAAGTATTAAATGCCATTCTCTCCTTCAAACACTGTAAACTCCTGCTTAGGACAAGGGATTCAGATATTTGTGTCGTCCTCGGCTTCTGAGACTTTGATGCAAGAGTTTTAATCTCGCACCCAGTAAAACCTTGGTTTACACAAAGGCTTCCTCCTGCACTCCAGGAATCTGCTGGTCTGGAGCAGTGACCCCTTTCCCTTTCTGCCTTCAACTCCTGTTCACCAATTCTGTTCAGACTAGCCAATGGAGTAACACAGTGAGGCCTGCCCTAGCCAATGGGGAAAAGTCCCAGTCACCGCCTGAGTTAGAGTGAAAACCAAACGCTCCTGCTATCTCTGTGTATTTTGTTGAAGCAGATTAGTCAGATGACATACCTGAATAGGGGCTCGAGGAGGATTAAGGAAAAACAATGAAGACAGGACAGAGTCAGCAAGGCTGCCAGTCAATACTGACTTAGGGTGAGACAGACAGACAGTTCAGAGTGGGTTCTTAAAATACAGCCTCTCTAAACGATCAACTGCAGAAATGGTCTTTCTCCTCCAATATTTGTCAATCCAATATTTGGGATTGACAAAGGCATGTAGAGGAAAGTTAGCTGTTCAACTCATGGCTGCCAGGGAGCAAAGAGTGTGACAAGAAGCAGAGGGTGTCTTTCCAGGACAAGTCCCAGTGAACTGGTCCCCCAGATAAGGCCCCACTGTCCGAATTCCACCATCATCCAGTGGTCTATTCAAAGCATCATCCCGTTGATAGAGCAGCCCACAGCCTGACCACAACCCTGCCTGCATGACTGTGAGCTTCTCCGTTACTTTCCTCTAAACCACACACCTTACTTTCTTCCTGTTTGAGTTCCTGAAGACGTTGTTTCTCCGGCAGCAAAGCTTTGGTTCATCACATTGTTCTCTCAATGCTAGTGTTTGTAAGTACAGACTCTAAAGTCCTGTGTGGCTGCAGGGGACATCTAAAAATATCAAATTTAGCCTGGCACTGGGTATGAAAAGTTGGATTTCTAGCAGTTTCTAGCTGTCACACAATGAGAAAGCTGGAGGAAATTGGATTAATAGTGGTCATTACTGTATTTTTTTTGCAATGGCCCCTTTGACCACTTTTTCACAAAGAAAATTATCATCACCTGTGGACTAATAATAATAGAAGTTGTTCCTTTTCAGGAAGACTTCAAACAAAAAAAAAAAAAACCAACCAACCAAACAACAACAACAACAAAAACAAAACCAAAAAGCAAACAGACCACGGAACAGAGATGGGAAAGGCTGCCGGTGTCGCCATCTGTGGAGGAACTGGGACTGAAATATGGCAGGCGCATCTTCCAGGATAAAGAAGAGTCCTGACTGTTAACGATAAAGTGCCAGGGGAACCTTGGCTGATTCCATGGCAGGGAGGTTGACCCAGGTGAGGTTGACTGGAGCTGGCGACAAACAAACCAGGCAGACAGAGCTTAAGTGAGTTTTATTAGAAAGGGGAGGGAAGGGGGAAGGACAGAGAAAAGAGGTAAAGAGACACAGTCGCAGTCACAGACACACACACACACACACACACACACACACACACACACGGGGAGGGGGGCAGGAGTGGGGGGGGAGAAGAAGAGAGAGACAGAGACAAAGACAGAGAGGAAAAGTCCTGTCTGCCCCAGGGGAACAGCGGGAAAAGAGAGCAAGAAAGAGAACATAGTGGACCAGGTCTTTCTTTTAAAGGGGTGGGTCCTTAGCACCTGCATGCAGAAAGTAGTCCTGGAACCCTGGGCTGAATAGGGTCCAGCCTGAGTGGACTCTGACAGTGACAGGAGCAGGCCAGCATAATGCCTGAATCCTTACTACTGATGAGGAGATGTGTTGGGCCTAAGAAAGGCTTGGATGCAGGCCCAGTGTAAGCTCCTGAGCCTGGCTAGAGTTTAGCGACCTGTCTCTAACCTGTAACCTCCACGTGGGGGTGACTCAGCCAGATCTGATGCAAGATTGCCCCCTGCCTAGCTACCTGCCTGCTTGGTGGAATACTATTGGCCCTTAACTCCTCAGGTCAAGTTACCCTATCCCAAGATTCCCATCCCCTACCTCAGTCCTATATAAGTTCCTGTGTGTTGGAATAAATCGAGATCCTGCTTCGACAGACTCCCTGCAGAGATGGAGACTCACCTGTCCTCAGGTCTGCATCCAATTCCTTAGCTAATCTCTGATACCCAGAGCATGGACAGGAGGATGACATCTGTGAGACTCAGCACAAAGCAAGGTATTGGAATCCGGAGGGGATGGCCGAGAACATTTCCCCACTTGAGTTGTCTGTGGCAGATTTCCTGAAGGGACTGGGTTGGCGGAGGAAAGGGAGTGGGAGTTGGGAAGTGAGTGCCTCCAGGGAACCGTGATTCAGTCTCTGATGTTGAAAATAGAAGATAAAAGAACGACTGAGGAGATTCCCAAAAAAACAAGCAAACAAAAAAAACAAACTTTAGAGAATCGGGTGGTGACAGCATTGATGCAGAGACCTTTTGTTCTTTCAAACTAATTAAATTCCCACCATCTCATGGAATCCATACCCTGTGGTTCCCATCAGATGCTAACTTGAGGCCCACTTTGGGAACTCCTCAGGGACTAAAGGCTCCAGTAAGTCTGTGGCTCTTCTCCTTTAAGAAACTGCAGCTCCCCCCACCCCCAACATATTAAAGAACACCTGAATGCACCTGTGGAGTCAAATAACCCTGCCATTCACATGGAGTACAGGCTGGGGGGAACAGCTTCAGACGAATTTCCTTTTGCCCCATTTTGCAGACATTTCTTGATACTGGCTCTTGAGTTTTGTTTTTGTTTTGTTTTTAAGTATTTTAGGGATTGGGGGGATGGCTCAGAGATTAAGAGCACTGGCTGCTCTTCCAGAGGTCCTGAGTTCAATACCTAGCGTCCACATGGTAGCTCACAACCATCTGTAATAAGATCTGGTGCCTTCTTCTGGCCTGCAGGCTACATGCAGACATAAGCACTGTATACATAATAAACAAATCTTTAAAAAAAAAAAAAGGTATTTTAGAGCTGGACTCAGGCAGATCTCTGAGTTCAAGGCCAGCCTGATCTGCAAATCGAGTTCCAACACAGCCAGGGATACACAAGGAAACCCTGTTTTGACAAACAACAAACAATGGAAAAAAAGAAGAAAGAAAAGAAAATGTAGAGCTTGTATATTCTTCTGGCTTCTAGTATTTTGATAGGTAGACCATCTGAGAGCTGGACAACCTCCCAGGAATTCGGCATAGACCAGATGTCCTGGTGCCCAATGTAGGGCTCCCTAAGTCTCCCCCAAAGGCCCATTTTCATCTGAGAAATGCTTCCATGACCCCAGGTGTCTTAGTTTCATTTCCTGTTGCTGTGATAAATCCCTGGCAGCATCCACCCAGGGAAGCGGGGTTTATTTTAACTCAAGTCCAGATTACTGTCCATGATAGCAGTGAAGTCCCAGGGGCCAACCCTTAAGAAGGCTGGTTCCCCTCTACAGTCAGAGAAGGAGCAATGGGTTCATGTACACGTGCCCACTATTCAGCTTTCTCCATCTTCATACAATCCAGGACTCAAACTCAGGGGAAGGTGCCACCCACCTTTAGGGTCGGTCTTCCCACATCAAAGGATGTAATCAATTCTGCCTCCCTCCATACAATCTAATCTAGACCATCCCTTATTGAGACTCTCCTTAGCTGATTCTAGATAGGTCAAGTTGATGTGAAAGACACCCCCAACCCCCCCCACCTCCGCCAGCTAGTAGCAGTTACGCCATTTTAAGGCTTGTACTGAGTACTAGGGTTCAAATTTAGGTCACAAGTAGCGCCACCTAGCCCATGCCAAACAGGATAACTGCGGTCAGGCACCTGGAGTTCAGCCACCCACATAAGGAAGGAGAAGGGGGAACGCCGATATCTGACTTCCAGGTACCCGCGACCTTTCTAGGGCGCGAATTTCAAATTCTGTGACGTCACAGAAGTGGGTGGCAACTCGTACCTCGTTGACAGTACCACCGCTGACACCTCATTTGCATATCGGACCTGATTGAGAACCTCACCTGTACATTCCACAGGACTTTCGCACCATATGTAAATAAGGTGTGCCCTGTAACCACTCATCTGCTTCTGTGAGCCTGCTTCTGCCTCCCCAAACCCTATATAAGCTGCATTAAATCCAGCCCGGCATGCTCAGCCTCCCGAAGGGCAGCAGCCATGGTGAGTCAACAACAAAAGGTGAGCAATCGTCCTTCCCACCCGGTTGTTGTTTTGTTTTAATCTAGGATGCTAGCAGAAGGTGATGCCCGCATCCAGCCTCATCTACCTGCATCACCTAAGGCAGCCAGGACAGTTTTCCAAAACGCAGATCCCTGCTCTCAGGTGACTCTAAGTTGTGGTGATTTGATAAGAGCAGGAAATGTTATATGCACAGTAGAAAACACTGTGATTCATAACGTATAATAGTCTCAGATCTGAGATGAGGTGTTTTAGGCAGTATTTAATAGCACTACAGAGTAGAGCGACCCCTGCAACATGAAGTGCACATCTCTGTGTTCAGAAACAAGGCTCTAGTGAAGGTTCATGAAGCCACCTAGGTGAACGCTGCAGCGAATATCTCTGATCCAGTATATATTTGATGCCAAAGGAATTTTGTGACCCCTACACATCCAGAAACTTACTGTTGCCAGACTTTCCACAGCCCCCACTTTCAGGTCACAGGACCCACAGTTCAAGGAGCTCTCTGAAGCTTGAGAAAAAGAGGATCCTTACAGAACATGGTAATGTTCTGGCACCAAAGGTTGGAACAGCAGATGGGGGCGACTTTCCTAGGGCTGTCACTGAAACTAGTCTCAGCATGAGAGGCAGAGAGCCAGGGCTTCAGGGGAACAGTGAGGAATGGGCCTTAAATAGCGTCTATCAGTGCCAGGAGAACAGCTCCCAAAGTCTTCAGAGACACGGCTTTCTGGTTTTGCTCCTGAGAAATTTCAGCTCTTCTCCCTTTTATGTAATAAAGACGCAGGGTGTCCTCCATCACCCTCTGACCCGGGATGGAAGAAAGAAAGGAATGCCCAAGTCTCCTCTGCTTAGCATCTCTGGCTCCACCTCTAAGAGGGTTTGGAATCTGCTGGATTCTGGTCTCTCTAACTGAATGTCGAAGCCCACTCAGTATCCCCTAGCTTACCCCAGGAGGCACTCAGAAGCAGGCTTGTGGCACTTTTCTGTGTTTGCTTTTCCTATTTTTCTTCATGTGTCTGGGTGTTTTGTCTGCATGTATGTCTGAGTGCCACACAGGTACCTGGTGCCCAAGAGACCAAAAGAAGTTACAGATGGTTGTGAGCAGTGGAACAGGTTCTCTGGAGGAGCAGCCGGAGTGCTTTTAACTCTTGAGCCTTTCTCAGGGTGAGCTTTTAAACACAGAAACCATGTCCTGGGTTGACAGACTGAACAACAACTGTTAGCCACAATTGTATCTACAAAAGCCAAAACACAAGGCTGGTGCATTTAGAGACTCTCCAGGAGCTGTGGACTTTGGTGGGATAGGTCTTTGCTTTTGTTTCTACAGGTGGTGATGGCCGGACAGTAATTCAGTCACATTGAGAGTACAAGACTCAGCCGTTGCTGACAGCAGAGTAGTTATCCAGGGGACCAAGAGAACAGAAACTAGTGCCGATTATTTGACTAATGTCTGCCTGCCTACTTTGTCTGTATGTCTGTCCTCTCCCCCCCCCCTTTTTTTCCTTTCATGACAAGACAAGATTTTTAAAAAATTACTCTTGACCAGTTAAGATAGAAACAACAGGTTGGGTGTAGCTGCTGATCCATTGTCTGGGAACCATATGCAATGTCACTCACTGTATTACCCCTGTCTATTTAGGCAGAGGAATGTGTGGTGGCCACTCCCAGTGTGTGTGTGTGTGTGTGTGTGTGTGTGTGTGTGTGTGTTTCTATATGTTTCTGTATTGATCAGTAGCTTTCACCGGTATTAGAACCTCTCAGCTTAAGTATTGTGCCCGTCCTGTTGGGGACCAGAATCCTTTTATCTGTTCCAGGTTGCCCAGAGAAAACCCCTACACAAAACAAAAACAAACAAAACAAACACCCCACCTCCTTTCTCATACCTGGGAGCAGGAGCACTTGCTTTTCTGTTACTTGCCCCCTGCCCAGTCAGGATTGGTCCCTGTGTGGAGGTGGGGGCGGGCTTTCATCCAGAGCCCCCTACCTTTTAAAAGGAATGCGCACAGGGAGGGGAACTGGATGGTTTTGTGTCTTTATTCCCTCCCTTGCCTGCTCAAAGCAGCCCCAGGGAAATGAAAAAGTTCCCCTGGGTTGAGCCCAAAGGAAAAGAGAAAGTTCCACTCCTTTCTCTTTCATGATTTATGTCCCCTTTCCAAGCAGCGATCTACGTTTATTGGAAAACTGAAAATCCCCCATTCTCCGAGAAGAGTAGAAAAACCATCCGTGGGCCAGGCAGGGAGAAACACTGCCAAACCTTGCAGACTGGACTGAAACAGATTTTCCCTTCTGCTCAACACGACCAATGAAATCTTAAACACCTTTTACTTTTAAAAATAATTAAAGATAGCTGCTAGAAAGATTTCCTTTGTTGGGAGCAGGAGAGATGGCTTAGAGGTTACGAGCGCTGACTTTTTCTAGAGGACCCAGGTTCAGTTTCAACATTCACATGGTAGCTCATTACCTTTCATAGCTCCAGCCCCAAGGGATTCAATGTTCTTTTCTGGCCTTTGCAGACACAAGGCATGTAGGTGGTACACAGACAGACATTGAGGAAAATCACCCACACACTTAAAATGACATCACACACATTTAGAAAGAAAAAATATTTCCTTTGTCGCCCAGTCAGCCTCAGATATTAGGGAAAAAGTTATAAAAATTAGAGGTAAAAGTAGGTGCCGGTTGCTGGAGGTTGCTCAAAGGCTATTTAGCAACAGATTGGTACAAGACCTTTTGCAAAACTGAAAAACCGCCATTACCTTTGCTGAATGTGAGACACAGACTGACAGATACCCAGCAAACGTTTGGTGTCTTACCCTCTGTCAGAAGGATATCTCCTAGGTGAAAGAGGCTCCTAATCAAAAGATACAGCTGGACCATCTCTCAGATTGACAACAAAGATTCCCAGGGGTATGGAAAGAAACTAACGCCCAAGGACTGGCCCAACACCAAATTCCCTTAATGTTCAACCCACCAGTTCCGCTGCCCTCATCCAAATCAAACAATATCCAATGACCTTGGAAACAAAAGGTGAAATTGCCATCCTCATTGCCTGGCTGGGAGATGCAGGCATCGTGGTATCTTGCTAGTGGCACTGGAATACACCTCTCCTGTCTGTAAAGAAAGCTGGGACTTCTGATTCTCATAAGTTTGAGTCTTGCAGAGAAACACGTATACACTGACCTTGACCTGAAAGAAGCATTCTTGGGCTTCCTTTCGGAGGAGGTGAGTCAACCCATCTTTGTTTTAAATGGACAGACCCCAAAGAGAGGTTACAGCAGGCAACTTACATGGACCATGTTGCCTTAAAGATTTAAAAATTCACCAACTCTGTTTGAGTTAATCTCTTCAGAAGTTTCAGGAAATCAGAAGTTTCTCAGGAAAATAGATTATAAAAGGGTGACTGAAGGCCAGCTGCCAGAGTCACAGATCTTGGGCAACAAACTGTCAGCTATAAAAGTCCAACTCCACCTAGGCACTCTGCACGTATGTTACGGTTGTGTAGCTTGGTCCTCTTGTGGGACTCCTAACAATGGGAACAGGGGCTATCTCCAACTCTTTTTACAGGCCTTTGGGACCCCATTCCTCATACTGGGTCACCCTGCCCAGCCGTAATACATGGGCAGGTGCTTAGTCTTACTACAACTTGATATGCCATGTTTTATTGATATGTGTGGGAGACCTGCCCTTTCCTGAACAGAAAGAGAAGAGGAGGGGATGGGGGGTCAGAGGGGTGATGGAGGAGAGGTATCTCAGCCTACATCATAGGACTGATTGATCTGATTCAAGCTCTCAGATGGGGAAAAGGAAGGAAAGTCCCCCAATCTCAATTCTTTTACCACGGTGCATGTCCACAGTATGATCTATAGAGAAAGAGGGTTTCTCACCTCTGGGGGAAAGGACATGAGAGAAAAAGAGAAAGCCGGGTGGTGGTGGCACACACCCTTGATCCCAGCACTTGGGAGGCAGAGGCAAGTGGATCTCAGTCTTATAGAGTCTTATATAGCAAGTTTCACAACAGTCAGGGTTGTTACACAGAGAAACCCTGTCTGGAAAAACCAAACCAAACCAACAACAACAAACCCAAGAGAAAATCTTGGCCTTCCTAGAGGCTATTTGGCTTCCCTTACAAATTGTCCTCCATGACTGGGCCACTGCCCTGACTGCCTCACAAACTGCCCTAAGACCAGTGTGACTCATTGATATTCTACTACGTACCCTGACTGGGTGTTGCCTGAGACTCCATGGAAATGAAAAAATGGACAGCTCGAGCCCACAGGCTGCTGGGGACCACCAGAGGGAAAGAAAGACCACTCTAGGAAATAACTGGCAGGACTCTGGTAACTAACCTTCACCATGCTACTCATCTGGGGTCTACAAAACTTTCTGAGTTGCTCAGAGCAAGGAATGTTGTACCTAGACTGGACAGCAGTGCCAGAGATCTCAGCCAAATTCAAATAAACCCAAAACAGAGAGAGCCTTTACCTAGAAGGGGTCTGAACGAGATACCACCCAGAACTCTGGGAAAACAGACTGGCCTGCTTATGCTTAGACATCTGGCCCCTGTGCTACATAGGAATAGAAACGAACCAGACTATCAGCCCATTGACAAAACTCACTGTGACTGGAGACAGCCCAAATTAGTGCTAGAGGATGTATAAGAGGCTAAAAGTTGTCTAATGTACAAAACCTTTAGCCCGGGCTCTTCCTTTATCCTGATGCCTGCTGTTCTGCCTTCCCGGTTAATTCATCTGGATAATGTGGAGTATTTGCTTAACCAGGCAAACATGTGTTACATTTGTTCACGCTGCATTTGCTAACTCTGTAGAGTTAATTAAGTAAAATTAACCTGGCTTCAGAGAGGTGGGGTTTGCAGCTGGTTGACCGGAAGTAGCAGGGAGGAGGCTAGCTTGGGTGTTTTTTTAGTTGGGGGTGTGTGGAAGGGAGTGGTTCTGGAAGCCAGCAAAGAGAGTAAGCTAGCAGGTTGTTATTCAAAATCACTGCGCTCAGTTTTTCACCCTGTGAATCTTGAGTTTTATTAGAACAATAGATACTTAGTTAGAGCCTCCTTTAGTGACAACAACAGAACCATTGTCTGGGGGAACAGAATTCGCCCCAGGCTTCTAGGCGTTTAAAGCGCAGGCACTGTGACAAAGGAAGGTAATAAACAGCCCCTGAGATTGCTCTGTGGGCATATACTAATGGCCTCACTCAATGTGCTTCTTCTGATGCTTTCCAAACTAAATAGACAGGTTGATCAGGACCTAGAGCTATTAAAATGACAGATTCCCTTGCAGAAATGCTCCTACAGAATAGGGGAGGCTAAAACTTTCCTTTCATGAGATAAAGAAAACTATGCCTGACTTTGGGAAAAATCTGTTGTTTCTATGCCACTTGGTCAGGAGTGACTAAAAGTAGTCTTGCCGAGGTTAAAAAAAAATCTAGGGGTTGGAGAAATGGCTCAGTGGTTGAGAGCACCTTCTGTTCTTCCAGGGGACCCAGGTTCGATTCCCAGCACCTACATGGCAGCTCACAATTGTCTGTAAGTCCACTTCCAGGGTACCTGTCACTGTCATACAGATGCAGGCAAAAGCACCAATGCACATAAATAAAAGATTTTTAAAAATCCATTCTATTTCCCCTTCCCAGAGAAATTCATGCATCCCACCCCCTTGATCCCTGCTGGTTACTTAGCCTCTGTTGGTCTGCGGATTGTTTCGTGGTTATCCTTTACTTATAAGTTAATACCCACTTATAAGTGAGTACATGCCACGTTTGTCTTTCTGGGTCTGGGTTATGGTCAGGATGTAATGTATGAGAAACAAACAAACAAAGCAAAAGAATCGGGCATTGGTAACACATGTCTTTATCCAGCATTCAGGAGGAAGAGGCAGGCCGATCTCTGTGAGTTTTAGGCTATCCTGGTCTACAGAGTGAGTTCCAGTACATCCAAGACTACACAGAGAAACCCTGTCTTTAAAACAAAAACAAAGAGATAATAAGCACACGAGAGAGACATTAATAAATGTTTTTAAAGACATTAATTAATGGCTAAGTGTTGTTGTTAACTAAAGTATGTCAACCCCCAACATGTTTGTTTGTGCTTAAAAGAGCACCCTGAGAAAAGCTCAGTGCCACACTGGGATCCCAAATACCCAATGTATTCGAAGTCTGATTCGTTTTATGGGACTCTTGGCCTTTTGTGATATGTGAACGATGATAACCTTCCACCAGTTGCAGAGAACTGACAGCAATACAAGTCCCTCCTCCTAGACTAAAGAGAGCTCTGTCCAGCGGAGATTTGTTCAATGCCTCCTTCCAATTGCTGAAGAAATGGCTCAGTGGTTGAGAGCACCGTCTGTTCTTCCAGGGGACCCAGGTTCGATTCCCAGCACCTACATGGCAGCTCACAATTGTCTGTAAGTCCACTTCCAGGGTACCTGTCACTGTCATACAGATGCAGGCAAAAGCACCAATGCACATAAATAAAAGATTTTTAAAAATCCATTCTATTTCCCCTTCCCAGAGAAATTCATTTTCTGTCTATTCACAAAGCTGTGTGTGAGTGTGTGTGTATGTGTGTGTGTGTAAGAGAGAGATTGTGTGTGAGAGTGTGTGTGTAAAAGAGAAAGAGTGTGTATGAGAGAGTGTGTATGAGAGAGTGTGTGTAAGAGAGAAAGAGTGTGTGTATGTGTGTGTGTGAGAGAGAAAGACAGAGTGTGTGTGTGTGAGAGAGAGACAGAGTGTGTGTGTGAGAGACAGTGTATGTGTGTGTGTGAGAGGGAGACAGTATATGCATATGTGTGTGTGTGTGTGTGAGAGAGAGAGAGAGAGAGAGAGAGAGAGAGAGAGAGAGAGAGAGAGAGAGAGAGAGAGAGAGCGCACTCTCAGGGCCTCTTGAACACTCTCCTGCTGAGAGCCCCCCTGGTCACTGTCTGCAAACTTCTGAGCCTTTTCTTCCCTCCACTTCTTGGTGCTGCTTGTGACTTCTTAATGTTCTCCCTTCAACAAGGAGTTAAGAAAAGTGCAAACATATGTTCTCTTTATGTCACTAGGGCTTCAGAAGGCAGGTGCTCGAGATTCTATGTCGTTTAGATACTCGTGATTTTATTTGACCTTTTCTTGAAAGCTACTCTAAACCCCTGAGAGACACTTGGGATCCTATGGAACGATGAGAAGCTGGTTTCAATAGTGTATAAGCAAAAGTGACTCTGGGTCTGATGGTGCACACCTGTAATTCCAACACCCAGGAGGCTGAGACAGGAGGATTATGACGTTGAGACCAGAGACCCTGTTTCAAACAACACTGACCCCAGCCCCACAAAACAACACATACACACATACCCAAGTCCCAAACTCTGCAAAACATACAAATCAGCACAGGCATGGAATTACAATTTTCAGTAATGTAAACACTACTATGGCTTGTGTTTATCTCAGGACGGGCTCTTGGGAAAATTTAAGTATCTTAATTCTTGGGTTTTTTTTTTGTTTTTTTGGTTTTGCTTTTTGTTTGTTTTAGGTTTAACATATATTACTGGCAAATAAAATTATTTAAAACAACAAAAGAAACAGTAATTAAAATTTGGGACATTTCATCCTTTTTAATGAAATCCTGGCCGATTCAGATTTCCTTCCAATCTGGGGGATTTAATGTCGGGGAAATGGCTCTGAGGGTAATCCTGCCTTCCACAAGGGGAGTAAGGCAGCTGGAGGCTGAAGAGCCCTGGGGAGCAGGCGGCCCTGGGAGATTCTGCTGGTCTGTTGCATGGAGAGATGGATGCACAGGCACATGTGTGCACACATACACACACACACACACACACACACACACACACACACACCTGCAGACAGCTATGCATGGTTAGGTGTTTGAAAGAAAATGTTCACATATTTGCGAGTTAGTTTGAAATGCATCAGCAAAAAATAACATGAGGGATGGAAAGATATATTAATATGTATGAAATGAAATAGGTGAAATATTAGTGAAAGAGTCTAGGTGAGTGAAAAAGCCATGCTCACAATCCACCCATCTTCAGACAGACCAACAGTGAACTTGTCAGCCAGCCCATGTCCTTTTACTAAGCCCCACAAGGGCACTGGAAAGATGGCCTGGCTTTAATGACATATGTTGCTCCTCCAGAGGACCCGAATTTTGTTTCCAGCACCCATGTTGGCAGCTCTTGATCTCCTGGAAGTCCAGCTCAGGGGATCTGACAATGCTGGCCTCTGAAAGTTACCTGTACTCACATGTACACACCTACACACAAGAGGACACACACACAGTCAAAATTAAAAATTCAAATGAAAATATTAAGATAAATCTTTAAAAATAAAACCCACAATGAAGCAATAACAAAAAGCTCAGCTTTTTTTTTTCAGCCCAACACAAACATCAGAAGGCTTATTGTTGTCAACGTTAAGGCAGGCGAGGCAAAACCATGATGAGATGAGGCTTCCCATCCACTAAACTGGCAGCCCTCAAAGATTCCAGACTGTTCACAGTGAAGCAAGCCTATGATCCTGACATTGGGGAAGCTGAGACAGGAGGATCATCTCAAGAGCAGCGTTATCTTCATCATCGTCATCACAAGCCTCATCTACATAGTGGTTCCAGGCCATTCAAGAGTACAGTGAGATCTTGTCTCAAAAGTAATAATAAGACCAGGTAGTGATGGCTCATGTCTTTAATTCCACCACTTGGGAGGTAAAGGCAGGCAGATCTCTGTGAATTTGAGGCCAGCCTGGTCGACAGAGTGAGTTTCAGGACAACCAGGGCTACAAAGAGAATCCTTGTCTCGAAAAACATAAACAAAACAAAGCAAGAAGAGATAACATATGGTAATACTTTGCTGCTAATACGATAGACTATGATAATCTGAGTTCATGCTTGTTTCCTGGCCTGCAGATATTCTGATGAACAGGGATGTGGGCAGCCTGAGTTGAATAAGTGACAGTATTCCTTTGCAGGAAAAAAGAAAATAGGGTGTGTGTTTAGTCATTAACGCTAGCAACTTCTTCCATTTGTTCCTTTAAATAATCAAGGCTGGTTAGACTAATATATCCAGCAAAACTGTCCACCATAGTTACAAGAGAAATAAAAACTTTTCATAGTATACAGAGTCTAAACAACTTATACCCAACAAACCAAACATAAAAAAATACAAGAATTCTAATAAAAGGGTTTGATATTGGTGGTGGTTTTATATTAACAATTGTTGTAATAAAGTTGATTGCACCTAGAATTGATGAAACAACAGCCAGGTTTTAGATTACAAATGCCCCTGCATAGGCTAGTTTTCCTGCTAAAGGAGGATAAGCAGTCCAACCAGTTCCTGTACTGGCTTTTACTACTGATGACGCCAGCAGAAAGAGAAATGGAGGGGGTGGAGTCAAAAGCTTGTATTATTTATTTGGGGGAAAAGCTATATAAGGAGCTCTAGTATGGCGTGGGACAATAAGTTTTCAGATACCATAATACTGATTGTTATTGGTATGTGTGCTGGCTAGTTTTAGGTCAACTTGACACGGGCTAGAGTTGTCCAAAAGGAGGTAACCCCAACCGAGAAAATGCCTCTATAAGACCTGTCTGTAGAGCATTTTCTTAGTTACTGACTGATGTCGGAGGGTCAGCCTGTCATGGATGGGGCCATCCCTGGACTAATAGTTCTGTGTTACATAAGAAAGCAGGTTGTGCAAACCATGAGGAACAAGCCAGTAAACAGCACCCCATCTGTGGCCTCTGCATCAGTTCCTGCCTCTAGTTCCTGCACTGTTTGAGTTCCTGTTCTGACTTCCTTCAGTGATGAGCAGTAACATGAAAGCATAAACCAAATAAACCCCTTCCTCCCCAAGCTGCTTTGGTCATGGTGTTTCATCGCAGCAGTAGTAACACTAAGACAGTATGACTATTAGAAAATTGTTAGCAGCCAGGCAGTGGGGGCACACTTCTTTAATTTCAGCACTGGGGAGGCAGAGGTGTAATGTGCATTCTTTCTTCCAGCCTGGTCCCTCATCAGTCCCAAATAAACATGCATGACGCTATATTCATTATGAAACTGTTGGCTGTTTGCTATGGTTTCTAGTTGGCTAGCTCTGACTTAATTATTAACCCATAACTGCTAATCTGAGTATTTCCATGTGGTCTTCTCTTACTGGAGAAAGGGTCCGGACCTCTTACTCCTCTGGCGTCCTACATGATGACTGACTGTGCTACCATTTCCCAGAATCCTCCACCTCTCCTAGTCCCACCTATCTTGCTTCCCAGTTGGCCAACAGCACTTTATTTATCAACCAATAAGACAACATATACACAGAAGGACTTCCCCCATCACAGAGGCCAGCCTGATCTACAGAGTGAGCTCCAGGACAGCCAGGGCTACACAGTAAGACCCTGTCTTGAAAACAAACGTCACAAAAGCATTGACAGTAAAAGCCTTATAAATTTGGTCTTCTTCTAGTAAGGCTCCTGGTTGACCCTAGTTCTGCTTGAATTGGATTCTAATTCAAGTGGTTCTCAATCCTCCTAATGCTGTGACCCTTAAATACAGTTCCTCATGTTGTGGTGAGCCCCTCAACCATAATATCATTTTGTTCGTACTTCATAACTGTAATTTTGCTTACTGTTATGAATTGTAACTTAAATATCTGACATGGGACCCAAATGGGGTCTCGACCCACAGGTTGAGAACCACTGAGTTGTAAGATATAAAAGCCATTCCTACTACCCCAGCTCAGGTAGCAAACAGGAGGTCCAGAGTCCCAACATTTTTGCAGTTTGTTGAGATTAGTCAACAGTTTTTGAACAAAAGCAAAATGACTGGGTGAGCATCAGACTGAAAATCTAAATACAGAGATTTAAGTCCTCTTCTTACCAAGTCTTGAGCTGAATTTCCTATTGAACCGCAAATTCAAAGGATTAGAAAAAAAATTCTTCTCCCTCCCCCACTCTCCCAGGCAAGAACAGTAGACTTGAGACCGTTGTAAGATATTTAGTTGTTAACTACAATTTCATGGGGTCAGATCCATCAATCTAGAGGAGGATTTGACTTAATAGAAGTAATTGATTTGCATTCAGTAGATGTAATATAAAGTCTTGCAACCCATAGAAAGCAGAAGTTAAACTTAAAAGTTGTCTTAGGGCTTTAAAGGCTCTTGAGCTAATTATATACTAAACTTGTGGTTAGGGGAACTAATTATAGGGATGGTAGGAGGGTTAAAGTGCTAAGAATAGTTAGAGGGGTGAATGTTCAGTTATTTTTTATATTTTCTTCATGGTTAACTATTTTGATACTGTTAGTTGTTGGGGAGCTAGTGAGTGTAGTAACGTAAAACTAAGTATATATAGAGAAATACGTTAAGTATGGCTATCATAGCTTTAGAGTAGCCTTGATATGGCAATTGTTTTTATTTATTTTTTACTAATTTATTACTTGTTTATTATTTTATTTATTTTTTATTTTTTAATAATTATTTGTTTATTTTAAAGATTTATTTATTTTATGTGT